TTTTTTGTGGGACGATGTTGGATACATGCCAAAACATTTGAGGCTTGAAAAGAACAACAGACTCAACCACCTTCCTATCAAACCGGGTTTTCTATTTAATAGAAAATGACACGCTGTATATGATTAGTTGACATCATCTGCACAAAAAAGGAATTGTTGATAAGAACTGGTCCTAGTTTCCAATGTCAGTTCTAATTTGAATCTTGAATGTTGTGATTGTTCTTTCGATTTCTTCCGAACATTTTCCATACTATCACCGCAATTAGTATAGCTTGCGCAGCAAGCATTCCCTTAGGAAAAGCTTTTCTGCATTCTGGCAGCACGTAAATTTAGGCCACGCCTAAATTGGAGCGAGAGCAAAAGCTCAACGAAGCAGGAGGTGGTGGGGTGAGAGAGGCAACGCTTGCCCGCTGTAAATACTTTGCGAGATAATAAGTAAAGAACATGATGTGCTGAGTTTGTTTAAAACCGTCTGAAATGAGTCATTAATAACATGTGTTGCGTTGGGTTAGTTTAGTTAGTTGATTCTTTGGATCTTATTCATAATAAATTGTCTGATTTAAAGGAACATTAGGAGTGATATAGGAGTGATAAAGTTCACAAAAAAAAAAAATGAAATAAAAGTTTTAGTTCATACAATGACGTTAAATTGTTTTCAATCAGCAAAACAAGGGGGCAGCTTTAGTGAGAACTATCACCAGTTTTGTTTTCGCTCGTATATTGTTCAGTGTGATCAAAGACTCTTACAAGTGGTGCTTATTCTCAGAGAATTGAAAGGGAGAGAGTTGGGAGCTGTCAGCAATAGGGAGTTGTTTAATTAAAGTAAAGTGACTAATAAATAGAACTGTGATATAAACACAAACCTTGTTAATTTGAATTTAGATGTCTTCACGAAAGTAGTCTAGTAGTCCCTACCACGAAAACAATAATCCATTTCCGAATTACCTTTAGCCTCTTTCCCAAAGCTAGTCACGATGTCCATCCTTTCTTATGAAAATTAGATTTCATTCATGCAAATTAAACTCATTTTCATATGAATGGCTGTGCACCAAATCTCGCTTTAATAGGGAGGCGTAAGGCGACTCGGAAATGGGCTATTAACTTTAAACGAAATTGACTTTAAAAAGCTGTAAGATGGTTAACTATTCGACAATGATATTCTATCAGCATTTCTTGATTGAGTACTTTTCAATCGAATCAAAATGTGCGTACCCAGTATCCAGTACCCAGTACCCTTTGTCCTCTTGTCGATGGTGTAATACACATAAAGAACTCATTATTTACTGATTTAAGCTTATGTACAGTGCCTGTGTACAGTCTCCCACTTCTGCCAAAATTTAAATGAAAACAAGTATGAAGAAGTGTGAGATAAAAAACATAATCAGCCATAGATGACTAAAAACTAACATCCAAGAGTAGTAAATTTTTCTTTGAGATAAAAATTCAAGACAGGCAGTGATCATGATAGTGAAAATCTAAACAGGATGCAAAAATCTTGAACATCGGCCAAACAAACGGATGAAATACGCACTACAAAAACAAATTACAAAAAAACATCAAGATATGAAGGGAACAAGCCGAGCTACAAAATTATACACTTATCGTGACAATTGAAAACCAGGGTAGAAATCACACCATCAACTCCCGCGAATTGCCGCGAACATCTGACAAATCAACAAGAAAGCCCCCAACCCCAAGTCCGATTTTGACTGTTAAAACGGCGGGGCCAGCCTGGGCCCGCCGAACTTTTCTTAAAGTTCAACTATCGAACTAAAGTTTCGCGTAAAAATAATCCACAATAATGAGTAATGGTAATAGGACTGACTGGAGTCCACTTCGGTCTGTTATCATAAGAGTAATAACAAAATCGGACTACCGTGCAGCGGGAGTCCGACTTG